CAGAAACTGGAGGACCTCAAGGTTTCTTTTTTTAAAAGTTACTGCATGAAGCTTAAGACTCAGAGGAAGTGACAATTACAACAACATCGCAAAACAATTAATAAAAGCCTAAACAAAGTCTTAACAACAGCAGAGTTACTTGGTTGTAAAATAAGCTCAGGTTTTTACCGCCTCATAATTACTTTCTCCAAGCGTCTCTCAGTACGTTTATTTATTACCATTGTTCCAGGTATTGCCTCTGTCATTGCAGTATCAATGTCATGCTCAGCTGCGGTTTCGAGTTAAGATTTTTTCAAGTTTATTTTATTCCTATGCTAGCTGCCAGGCACGGCCATGATGAAAAGACGACTGTAAAACACAGATTTGTATGATTTAATTTTATTTCTCTACGAGTCTGTATGCTGATGCCTTCAGGGTTCAGGGTGCATTCAAAGCCTAAATACTGTAACAATACTGCGGGAATGCAGTATTTGCATGTGTATGGGTGTAAACTGGATGATTGAGGACATCGCCTGATTCAATTACCGTCACATAATCACACCTGTAATAAATAATCATCACAAATGAACAGCTTTGGATCTGTTGACCGGTTTGTGTCTCGTAGCCAATAGATGCTGATTCTCTTATGGAACCACATGACTTCTTTGACATGGATATATTAAAGTTTATAAAATTGTCCATTTAACTCCTAACACTTCTGCATTTCATCGGCATCGAAAACAGGTACCACAAACCACCGGACAGAAATTGTTCATGGAGAATTGTTGCTCTATTGGCAATTTGGGTTTGAGTCCATTTGTCTTTGAAAACATTAAACACAAACCCTTATCGAACATACTGATCAAGTAATTTAGGAAAGATGATTGAAGGCTGTTGGCAGCGAAAGAGTTTCACTTGTTTAGACAAAGCACAGAGCAGAACGCAGAGGGTTGCTGTGGTTACACTGATATAACTCCGAGCCACTTTAAGCACGATGATGACAACCGCTTGAAAAGAGGTCTTCTAAAAATCACATTAGAACACAAAGACACACACACCAGATTAATGCATTCCTTATATATAGTAATCTCTATAGTAATCCTCCACCATAAAGGAAGGAGTTTTTTTTTTTCTAAAAGCAAAGACCAAAATGTCAACAGTTCTAAACAAAAATCTGTCCTTGAGAAAAATCAGGAAACTTTGATGAAAGTTTGTACTGAGATTATACTTGTTCAGGATCAGTTTGTGGTATCAGCCCCACCCACCATGAACTCTTCTGTCTGTTGGCCTCTGAATACAGATCAAGGAGTAGGTAAAAACAAAATATCCCATACCCAACACAGTCCCCCGCCATCGCCCCTCCACCTCACTCACACTCTCAGAGTTTTAAATGACCAAAACAACAACTCTAATCCCATGGACTGTCACAGACACACATCGAACCCCCTCCCCGTCCCTCCCGCCTCCCACTCCTCCTCCTCAACTGCTGCTGGCACGACTTGTGGTGATAACAAACTGCTGTGGACATGGTTTACAAATCAACATGTCAATATACCAGTACTATCGTCAATATATCAGTTTCGCTTTACGATGGAAATGTGTAATATATGCAGTATATTTATATTGTACATATTTGTCTAAATATACATGTATATTCATACATACTGTACAAAGTATATTTTTTTGGTCCAGTCCTCATCTTCAATATATATATATAAAAACGTCTACTGTAAACTATTCCAAAACTGTTGCCTTTTGTCGACCCCGCCCACACCCTCCCCCAGTGGTGTTGTCAATATTTATGCTTCTTCCTCTTTGAAACTCACACATTAAACACACACAGACTACCCCCCCCCTCCCCCCACCAACCCTCTGCACTCCTACCACCCCACCAAC